GAGGCAGCCCCGCAGTGCAGGAGCGGGGCGAGGCCCGCGCTGGGGTGCAGGAGTTGGGGGAGGGGAGCCCACGCCGGCTGCTGCAGCAGCCTGAGCCGCTGCCCGAGTTCGGGGACGGCTCCCGCGAGCGCGGGGAAGAGCTCGAAAGTTCCGGCGAGCGGGGGGAGCGGAGTTGGGAGAGCTGCGGGCACCTCGGACGGGAGGCGGTGGTCCTGGGAGCCGCCCCAGCACGCCGAGAACGACGTGAGCTGCTGGGGAGGGCCCGGCCGGTGGGGCCCCGGGGGCCGGAAGGGGAAGGGCGCCTAGGGGTGCAGGAAGCGAACTGGCTTCCAGGGGTTCAAGAAGGACAAGTGGTGCAAGCTGTCCAGGAAACGTACTTGAACGGGAAGGGAGCCCAAGAGGGAGAGGGACACCCCGAGGGGCCTAGGACCCGGAGGCGCAGGCGGAGGAGGAGGTGGTAACCCTGCCTGGCACCAGGATCCCTCCAGGGCCAAAGAGTGCAAGATGTAGGGGTTTGCTGAGTGGGGAGCAACAGAGCGCTGTGAACCGGGAGCTTTGGATTCCTCTGCCCGAGGGCAGGTAACGGCCTGCAGGATCCTCTTCTGCTACCTCAGCCTGGACATCCTCTAAGCTGTGTCTTAGGGAGGCAGCAAAAGGCGGCAGGTAAGGAAGCCCAGTTCTGTTCTCAGCAGGAGTTGTGTTTGGGTGCAAGAGGCTTTGGTTACCCGGAGAAGGTGATCTCCAAGTTGCCCTGGTTCTTGAGCCGGGGAGGGAGGGAGCAGAGCAGTTTTCAATCCCAAGGCAGGACGCGGCTCCCTTCTGTATATGGCTCCTGGAGTGATGGGGCGTCTCCTTCAAGCTAGTCTAGACTGGAGGTGAGACCATCTGGGTGGCTGCCAGGTCTGGGCAGAGGGAAGAGAGGGGTAGCCTCAGGGCTGAAGTTGCAGGGTAGGTAGTCACCCCTCCACCTCTCCTGGTGGAGATGGGGTGTCTGTGTAGCTGGGATGGTGCAATCAGCACAGGTTTCCTCAAGTCCTCAAAACACATTCCAGAAAAGGAAAGAGCAGCGTTGCAGCAGAACCTTATCTTGTAACCCTGTTGGCCATGTGAGCTGAGCAGTGAGTGCAGCAGGCCCAGGAGCCTGACCTGCTCCCTCCATGCCTCTTGTCACAGTTGATTTACACTGAGGGCCCAGAGCCAAGGATGGATAGTAGAGGCAGAAAGGTGGAGCAACTGGTGAGGTGACGTCTGTCCCCCTGTGGGGCCTTGGGACCCCATCCTGAACAGGGTGGGCAGGGAAGTGTACCTGCCTTGCTGAGCTGGTCCACTTCTGTGGGTCAGATCTTGGCCCCTCTTGTGAAGATTGGTAGATGGGCACTGTGGCAGCATGGTCTCTACACCCCCAGAGGGCTAGCTCCCAGCCAAGCCTCCAGGAAGGGACTGCAGGGGCCAGGAGTGGGCTAGGCTTGCCTCCTTGTTGCCTCTCATGGTCTGGATGCTGGGCCTTTGGGCTACTGGCCTGGGTGGGCTGGTTGGCCAGCTTGTGGACTTCTAGGGCTGTTCACCTCTTACCTGGCACTGTCAGAGTCCTTGCATCCCTGGCCCGCTGCTGGGGGGGGGGTGTAGAGTTGGGGCTTCCTCAGCCTTTGCTAGAAGCCATCTCTGCCCCAGCCCAAGGTGTGACTGAGTCAGATGAACCCCAGACCCCTGTCCTAAAGCAGACTGGGTGGAGATAGAGCTTTCCTGTGGGGGCAGAGGGAGTGGTGGTGGCGGCGGCTGGGACTGCCAGAGGAGCCGGTTAGCCTGCTCCCTTGCAAACCCAAACCCGTCCGGCAGCTTCATCCCATGCCTGTCACACTGCCACCCTAAATATCATGCACCAGAAGTTCAACTGCTGTGTCCGTGGTGCCTGGCTCTTCTGGAATGGCTAGCGTGGTTCTGGCTCTGGTTTCAGAGAAAAGAATCGTCTCTTCTGAATACATGCACATAAGCACACATCTGCAACCTTTTATTACAGGTTGACCTTTTTGAACTTGTGGTTTCCATCTGGCTAATAATCTCTTATTAACCTCCTGGGACGAGATAACCTCTCCGGGCTTTGGTTTTCCTGTCTGTGCGGTTGGGACAAAAAAAAACTGACTGCAGGGGACTCAGCCCCATCTCTGCCAGCCTGGTACCCACCTCCTCAGGAGCCCTGGCTCGTAGCTGTTGGGGGAGCAGGGTCATTGTTTCCAGAACTATTTCCTCTGGCTATACCCGAGATTATCCCCCTGCTCCATGCTTATTCTGGATGATGATTTGTTTTTTTAATAACAGCTTGTGATATGATGACATACAGTAAACAGTATATATAAAGCGTAAGTCTTAACGTTTGCACATACCTGTGAAACCACCGCCAGGAACAAGAGAGTGAACACACTCCTTACTCGCAGACCTCCCAAGGTGTTCTTCCCCTTGGGAATTCTTCCATGTCACCGTTCTCTGTCATACCCCTTCCCAAGGTAACTGATCTGCTTTCTGTCACTGTACGTGACTTTGCAGTACCTAGGATTTCATTTTAATTGATAGAGCATTTGCACTTGCCAGAGAGAGATCACACCCCACGTTGCAGTCCTTTTTCCTCCGTATCTTCATCCTGTCAGTATTTGGAGAATTCACACACACATACCCAGCATGCCTTTCAAGCTACCGGGATGGGAATGTAAACCAAGGTTGGCTGTGTGGGGTCCAGCTCCCTCTGCACAGTACTTAACTGCTACACTATGGGGCTGGCCCCTTAGAATTTTATCTAAATAGAATGAAATAGTATGTATTATTTTTTTGGGGGGGGTCCTGGGTTTTCATTAAGTGTACTTTGAAATTCATCCACCTGGCTGCACATATGAATGGTTTGTTTCTTTTTCATTGCTGAGCAGTCTGTTGCATGCATATGCCATCATCTTTATCCATTTACCTGCTGATGGGTTGTGTTCGGTTTTGGGTTATTACAGATAAAGCTGCCATGAATGTTCATGTTGGTCTTTGTATGGGAATATGCTTTTATTTTTCTTGGGAAGGCTATGAATCATGACAGGTGTACATTAACTTTCAAGAAACGGACTGTTTTCAAAAGTCATTGTACAATTTTTTATACCCACCTCCTGTGTGTAAGAGTCCTAGATTATCCATATCTTTGTCAGCCCTTGGTCATTCTTGATTTTGGATGTTCTAATGTGCATGGAGTGGTATCATTATGGTTTTAATTTGCATTTCCCTAGTGACTAATTCTGCAGCGCATCTTTTCATGTGCTCATTTACCATACATCTGTCTCTGGTGATGTGTCTGTTCAGGTTGTTTACTCATTTTTAATTGTGTGGGATTTTTTTCATGTTGAGTTTGAAGAGTTCTTTACATATTCCGAATATAAGCCCTTTATCAAATACATGGTTTGTCCATCTTTTTCTTATAGTCTATGGCTTGCATTTTAATCCTTAGCAGTATTTTTGAAGACACATTTAAAAAATTTTAAACACTTCTTTAGGCCTATTAATTCTTCTATGAGAGAAACAGAAAAAAAACCAAAAAAAACCAAAAAGATTAGCACCCTCAACAGGGTCCCCATGCTGTGATCTGCTCCCAGTCTCAGCTGGCCCAGGTCATGGGCACGCAAATGTGCCGGCCCGGCCATGCACATGTGCCAGGCATGCTCAGGGACGTCTTTGGATGTGAAGCGAGAACCTTTCCCATACGGGTTTGGTTGCATTTTGCTACACCACTGCTGTTCTACTGCCTGGTCCCAAAAAGTTTTAAATTTTAAAAAAAGAATTAATTTTATTGATTATTATTATTTAATTTGCCATAAGGCATGTGCACTCACCAGGGAGAGGGAAAGTGAGAAAGCAAGCTGCCAGGTCCAGGACTCAAACTGCAGTTGGCCATGTGGGAGTCCAGCGCCTCAATCACCTGTTTGTACAAGTTTTAAATTTTAATGAAATTTCATTTACCAATTTATTCTTTTTTTCCTCCTCCTTTTTAAAAAATTTGTTATAGGGCATGTGTGCTTGCCAGAGAGAGAGAGAAGGAAAGCAAGAAATCTGCCCTCCCCTAGTCCCCACCCCCCGGAGGTGGGGGTGATGGCCATGCTGCAGTCCCTTCTCCACTGTCCTCTCAGGACTTTGGGCACACACACATGCTCAGTGTGTTTCTCAGTCCGCTGAGTCGAGGGTTCAAACCACGCATTCAACCATGTGGGATCTAGCCACCTTAACCACCGCCACCACCTCTCCCCCAGTTTGTTCTTATATAGAACAGGGTTTCAGTGTCATAGCTAAGAAATCTTTGCCTAACTTCAAGTCATTTGGTTTTCTTCTGTGTTTTTTGTAGAAGTTTTATAGTTTCGGGTGTTACAGTTAGGTCTAGGATTCATCTGGGTTAATATTCGTGTATGGTGCAAGGTATGGATTGAAGTTGAGCTTGTTGCATGTGGAGACTATTTGTGAGCTGCCTCGTCTCTCCACTGACTTGCCATTGAATATTTGTCAAAAATCCATAGTGTATGTGTGGGTCTACTTTTGGGATCTGTTTTTTTTCTATTGGTCTATTTGTCTTCATTTCACTATCACACCATTTTGATGATTATGGTCTATCTTGAAATCCAGGATTAGATTTGAAACTTTGGGTTTATGTTGGAATCAGGGTTAGATTTGAAACTTTGTTTTTCCTTTTCTAAATTGCTTTAGCTATTCCAGATTCTTTGCTCTTACATATATGCCTTTTCAAATTAGTTACTATTAAAAAGCATGCCAGGATTTTGATTGAGATTGCAATCAATTTGGGAAGAATTGAAATCGTAGCAATATTGAACCTTCTGACTCTTGAACAGTATGTCTTTGTATGTATTTTATTATTTTAAATAATTATTTTTATTTAATTTTCTTCATTATCATTTTTATTTATTTATTTTTTTGAAGTTGACCAGAGAGAGAGACAGACAGAGAGAGAGAAGGAAAGTGAGAAAGCAAGCTGCCAGGTCCAGGACTCAAACTGCAGTCAGCCATGTGGGAGTCCAGCTGGCTTAACCACCATGCTACCTGCCGGCCCCCTTTGTATGTATTTAAGTTTTAATTTTTTTTTTTTTTTGGTAGAGGTTTTTGTTATAGGGCGTGTGTGCTCGCCAGACAGGCAGAGAGAGACAGAGAGATAGAAA